TCTCTCCCCCTCCACAGGAGTCCGGAATAAAGGCTTCCTCGCCGTGTTAACAGTGCGGAATGCTTTTGCTCTAACAGTGACCCGGATCTCGCCCAGCCAGGCCAGACTTGCTCCTCCTGTCCATCCCGAGACCACTGTCGGAGCGGGAGGGGGAGGCTCTCTCCCCAGACGGCACTGGGTGGCCTGAGTCTTCAGCCTCATGGGGGGATGGCTCTCTGGGCACACCGCCCATCTGCCGCACGGCATGAAGGCACACGGCGACCCCTACTAGCGCCCTGCTGGCCGACGTCGCCCAGGCCACGGAGGCCGCTGCTTGGCGGGCACCCCTGACCCAGGAGGGGCAGCTCCGCCTGACTCATTAATCTGACGCTGGCTCACGTGTCAAAGTGCACGCGATTTCTTGTAAAAATGATCTGGCTGCTAATTAGGCTGTTTATAACTTGTTCCCTGGTCACTAATGATAATTAACATGCAAATTAGCTCGGGGAGGGGAGGCTCTCAGGCCCCAGTTCATTACCCCGTTAATTACTGTTTGCATACTTAAACATCACAGATATAAATGGCAGCATTTAGTGTAATGGGCAGGATGATAATTATACCAACGACATTTCGAAAAGTCATTTCACTGTGTTATTTTTCTGTGTGATTAATGATTCTGTGCCTGGTTGATAAACTTCGTTTGTTCAAACCAACACAGGCTCTGCACACAAACCAGCCGGCAGGCCCATTCATCTCCGCGCTCCTCCCTGTTGGCTCCAAAGTTTCAGAGGAAGGGAGAGGCAAAGGAGAAAGTTGGGCTGCTTTGGGGAAAGAAACTTTCCAAACTTCTCCTTCCCTCCCTCTACCTTCCTCCCCTCCTTCCTTCCTCCTCTCCCTGTCAAGTTCCCTCTGGACAATGGCAACCCAACCCAACCCTGCTCTCCTGGAGCCAACATCCCAAAGAAAAAAGCCAACAACAGACAGGTGCGTGACACCGAGTAGTGAAGCAGATGAAGAGGCAGAGAAAACCGGGGAGCCGTTTTCGATGAGGGGGTCAGTGAAGGTCTCTCTAAGGAGGGACCAGTGAGCTCAAACCTGAAGGAAGTGAGGGAGGAAGGGTAGGGGAAGAGGGGCCGGCTGTGCAAAGGCCCTGGGGCAGGAACAGGCTTGTGGAGGAACGGGTGGGGTTGGGTACAGCAAGGGGGCCAGGATGGCTGGGCTGAGGGATGGGGCAGAAGCTGTTCATTTATGGACACCCCAGCAGTGTCCGTGAGAACATCTGAGGAAGAACCATTTCCACTGGCATATCTCAAATGTGCTCCTCCCTAAACCAAAGCTTCCCGCACAATAGCACCCCCAATGCAGGGGTGGCCCTGGGCAAGCCACCACATCTGCACCTGAGATTAAAGCAACCTAGGGCGACAGGTGGGCAGATGGGTGACAGGAATGGCAGGGGCGCTCCTCCCCTACCCCGCCCCGTTGCATTATTGATCAGGAGATCCAATAGGAGCCAGCCCAGTGACAGGTGTGGCGCCTGCCTGCCAGGCTGAGGGAGGGGTCCAGGCCTGTGGGTGGTCCGCAGCGAGGAGGAAGGGCCCTGAGAGGAGGGGGTCTCCCCACACAGCCTCCAGGCTCCAGAGGACGGCACGACGCCATCAAGTCCTGCCTGTCTGGCCATAGGGACAAGAGGCTGATATTTCACCTGGTGACAACCAGGTCCCGAGCCACCTCCGTCCCGGATCCCTGCCACTGTCTGGCTCCTGCTGCCACAGGTGAGCCTCTCGGAGTGAGGGAGGGGATCCTCAGAGTCCCAAGGGTGTCCCAGGCCCGGCAGCCAGGGGGCTCTGGGTGGGCTCCCACACCCTGGGGGTGACAGGATGGTGGGTGGATGCTGATCCCAGAGAAGTGACCAGAGCCTCGAATGGCTGCCCAGCCAGGAGGCACCCTGGACAGAGCCCACAGTCACCTTTTGGGGGCATTAGGTATCGTCACAGGCTGTTGCTAAGGGATTTCCCTCTCTAATTGGGGTTGGCTGAGACAGAATGTGTCTGCCTTCCTGCTGGGCACCTGGGGGAGGGGTAAGGGGTCAGGCAGCCCCAGGGAACCCCAGGGAGACAGTGCCATCACTGAGTGGATGCTTGGGCCTGGCCGTGTTGGCCTCCCCACCCTCATGTGCCAGGAGAGCAAGGCCTAGCCAGCTTGCCTCCAGGATCATGCCAAGGGTCATGCCAAGGGTCCCCACCTGGGACCCCTGTGCTGGGCTCTGGCTGTGGTGGCAGCTCCTGGGCACCTGGGAAGCCCAGACTTCTCTCCTCACTGGGAGGGAGCAGCCTTCCAAGGCCACAGCAGGGTCTGCAGCCAGGGCCGCAGGCGTGAGGCCGGAGGACAGGGCATGGTCCCCACTTTCTGCACTGGGACCTCCCCTGGGGGAGCACTTGGGTCTCTGGAGGGCAGGGGATGGGCAAGCGTGAGTAAAGCACACCTTTTACAAAGAGGACTCCGAGCCTCGGGGCCTTTGTGGCCCAGAAAACATCCTGGGCAAAAGGTTTGCGAAGTTTCCTAATGAATTCGCCGCCTGCCGGAGCTGGGAAAACAGACAGTGGGGGCCGAATGGGAGACCTCGTGGCCGCGCCGCCCACAGACAGGGCGCAGGGACGCCCCACCAATGCCGCCTCCCACGAGGCGAAGGTCATAACACTGTAGGGTCAACGCCAAGGCTGAAGCCGACAGTCCACAGCCCTAAACTCCTTCTGTTTCCAACTTCCCTGTCGTCCTTTGGCTCAAACCCAAGAAAATTCCGGTAAGGCCTCAGAGCTTCCTTCCCAGCTGGTGGGGCTCCCGCCCAGGATTGGGCGTGACTGCGACGACATCCAGAGCAGGACCCTGTGCTCCTGCTGGGGCCACGACACGGGCGCTCAGGTCCCTTAGAGCTCCCACTCCATGGCTGTTTCGGGCTGCACAAGGAGTCCCGCAGGGGCACGCCTGTCCCTCCCTAAACCCAGCCAGGTCTGACAGCATAAACCAGAGCCACCTCTGGGGCGGGAGGAACGGCCCCCAGGGGCCCGGGCTTCACATGCAGCGGTTGTGGGTTATACCACAGGGAGACCCTATTTCCCCTAAAGCTGTGGATGAGACATGGACTCCCCCGCCAAAGACCACCTGTGCTGTCCCGTCAAGGTCTGCTGGGCACAGCAGCGCGAAGGCACCATTCAGCACCACCGCCACCTGATACGGCTCAGAAACGGCAAGAAACCCTTTGTAAAGGAAGTCTGCTTCCTTTTGAATTGGGATCACACCAAGGCCTCAGCAACACACGTCTGTGTACATGAGACCTACTCGTGGTCCTGCATCCTGAAACGTCCACCCTGTGCAGGAAGCAGGCACCCTGGGGTTACCTGCGTCTGCCTGTGCTGTGCTCAGGTGGGGCCCGGGGTCACAGGTGGTGACCCACTGAGAGCACCAGCCCATCTGGCCTGCGCTGCGGGTCTGTGGGCACCGAGTGCAGGGCACAGAGGTGGGGGGGCCCATCAGGGCTAATGTGATGCGAATGTCAGGCAGCCCTCCCTCCTGCATGCCCTGGGCCTCCCTACAGCCCCGTGGGGCAGCCCTGCTCCATTATGGCTTTTGCCTAATTAGGGTTTTTAAGTGAAAGTCATCAGTGAAAGTAATCAGAACCATAAGGAGCTCTTAATAAACTGTCACCACCACGTTCACCTCTCGGGTGTTGTGCCCTTGTGAAAGTCAGGGAGCCCGGGCCTGCCCCCTGCACACCTGGATCCCAGACTCTGCCTCTGTGCCTGGTGCCCCCCAGTGGGCCAACTGGCCACAGTCCGCGTCCCAGGAGACCTGGACCCTGGGAAGGACATTGGAGATGCAGCGGCCCTTACTGCTGGAGCCCCCCCACTTGTCTCACGGCACCCGTGTTGCCCCCACTCTGCCACCAGCCACTCCCCCCGTTTCCCCGAGCCCTGCGGAGGGATGAGGGCTTACTGGGCATCTGGGCGCCTTGGCAGCTTGAACTGGAAGGGGCACTCCCCCAAGGCAAGACCATCTCTCCAGGGACATGCATCGACCTTGCCCAGCCTCCCCCACTCCCACTTGCTGCGCCTGCGAGGCTCAGCATCTCAGCCCTAAGGGCAAAGCCCCTGCCCGCTGAGGCCTCCGGCCGCCTTTGCTTCTCGCTGCTGCTGCTTTGGTGGGGGTGGCAGGAGATGGGGGGGTTTCCAAAACAGTCACCAGACTCTGCACCCTTCCTTGGCTACAGTGAGGGTGACCCCCAGCCAGCAGTCTCAAGTCACAGCCCCTCAGAGCCACCTTCTGGGCCGTGTCCCAAGGAGGGCCGGCCTCTGCTCCACACAGGTCGCCTGGGCCGGAGCGAGCAAGTCAGCAGGAAGAGGCTTGACGTGTGGAAACGTCCCCCTGCCGGGGTGTGGGCAGGAGCCCGTGTGGGGAGGAGACCCACGGAGGGGGGTGGTCAGAGAGACCCACAGGAGCCTGGGCGGAGGGGTGGCCCGGGGCGGCCAGTTTCCCCGGAAGCAACCGACAAGTTGCACAGTAAGAGGGCTGTCGAGGAAGGGCCCCGAGAAGGCAGAGCTCAGGAAGGGCCGGGCCCAGGGGCTGCTCCCCCGCGGAGCTCCCTCCTCATCGGTGCGGGTGCGGAGAGGATGCGGTGAGGGCTGGGCTCGGCCGGGAGCGGCCCCGAGACCCCCACAAACTCGGGGCCTCTCTCCCTTGCAGCTCCGCCTTCTTCCTCCCCGACCCTTCCCCAGCTAGGGCCTGCGGGAGGTGGGGCGGGGTCTGGACGGGGCGGGGGCGGGGTCCGGGGCGGGGCTGGGGCGGAGTCCGGCCGGGGCGGGGTCCGGGGAGAGGGCGGGGACGGGGTGGGGACGGGGCGGGGACGGACGGCGCAGAGTCCGCACGCGGCGGGGCCGGGGCGGGGCGGGGGCGGGGCGGGGGCGGGGCGGGGGCGGAGCCCGGCGGGGTGTTGACGCTCTCCCGGGAAACAGACCCCCGGGCGGCGCCGCACCCACCGCCGCTCCCCACCGCCCGCCGCGCGCACCCCGCACGGCCTCGGAGCACAGGCGAGGGCGCGTGTCTGAGTGCACAGGCGTGAGTGTGTGGGGGCGTGTGTGCCTGCGTGCGTGTGCAGGCGTGGGCCGTCTCAGGGCGCCGGTGCGGGCGTGGGTCTCACGGGGCGTGCACTGGGCGGGGCTTGGGTGCCGGCACTTCGGGACCCTACAGAGACGGTCCCCGAGCGGGGCAGTTCATACTTCAGATCCGGTTTGGGGGAGGGGGAGGGGAGTGGCAGGGGCTGGTCCCCAGAACCAATCTCAGCGATCCCCTGGCCTGGGCCTACGAGGCTCCCCACCCCCAGCCAAGAGCCAGGCAAGGGCGCCGACGTCGCCGCAGCCCCGCGCTTCCCCCGGAACGGCGGGCGGTGGGAGGTGGGCAGAGGCCGGGCCCTGACTTTGCGCGGGTCTCTAGAGCCTCGGAGCTCGGAGAAGGAGGCATGTGTGACTTGGACAGGGGGCGGGTGGGTGGGGGCGTCCCACGTTCCCGTGGAGTCCTCTGCTGGCGGTGGTGTGGGGAGCAAGGGCCTGGACCCCCTGACCCCGCAGGCCACCCGGCTCCTCGCGTGGGCCGCCCAGCAGGGTAAGGGTCGCGTTCTGCAGAGGACCCTGGCCTGGCGGACCCTGGCAGATGCGCCAGCCCCACCCGGCTCTTCCCTCCAGGGCGCTCTGCACTGGTCTGGGGTCTCCGTGGGGAGAGGTGGGGACTAACCACGCCCCCCCCCGCCCCAGGTGCCCGCGAGGACGAGACATGGGCCCGTCAGGGGCGCAGCCGTAATGTCGGCGCGGGAGCTTGTGGCCTGCCTCTGCCGGGAAGGAGACCAGCGCCTGGCTCTGGGAGAGCCCCCCTTGGCCACCGCCTTCTACCTGGCGGCCTTCAGCTGCCACGCCCCCTCGGCGGTGCGGAGCGTCAGAACCGCCCTGGCTGAGGCCCGAGGGGCACCCGTGCTGGCCACCCTGGAGGCCTGGTGCCGCGGTGACAGCCAGATCCCCGCCATCCACTGGGACGGCATGGCGGTTGTCTCCCTGACCGGGACCCTGGCCTCCGCGTTCCTGGCCACCCTCTGCCCGGACCACCCCGCCGCGGTCCTGCACTCCCTGGCCAGTCTGCTGGCTCAGGGGCGCCACCAGGAGGTGGCTCAGCGCTGCAGCACCTTGCTGGATGCACGCTCCCAGCAAGCCCTGGAGCTCCAGCTGACCCGCGCCCTGGCCCGCGTGCTGTCCGGGGTGCAGGTGGACGCTGGCGTGGCAGACTATGTGCAGGCCTTTGCCTCCAGTGCAGACCGGACCGTGGCCTTCATTCGCACCCACCAGCAGCCCCATCTCCCCATGCTGATAAGCACCCTGCAGGACCATATCTCAGGGCGCCGGGAGGCTGAGGACAGCATCTGCCAGCAGGAGGCTGGCTGCCAGGGACTCTTGGCAGCCCTGGACCCCGAAGGCACCTGGAGCGATGCCCTGTCACCAGAAGCCCTGCTCCGCAGTGGCCGGTATGAGGAATGCCGGGTGGTGTGCAGCCGGGCCCTTGAGTCTGACCTGACAGGCAGCAGACTCCCAGGTAAGAGTGAGGCCAGGGTGAACTCCCTGGCACGCTCCCGTCGTGCCTTCACAGCATGCTTAAGTCCTGGTTATGGCAGGGTGGGGGGTTGTTCCTGGGCTGGGGACACCACAGTGACAAGATGGACAAGCCCTGTCCTTACAGAGCACCCAAGAAAAGGAATAAACAAAATATGTGCTTTGAAAAGTGGACCCTGCCAGGCGCTGCTCTAGCTGGGTGGTCAGGGAAGACTTCTTGGAGGAGGTGTCACTTGAGTTAAGGCTAAATGATTCCCAGCAGCAGAAACAGAACACAGGGTGCTGACGAGAGACAGAAGATGCAGGTGCTTGCAAGAGGCTGAGGCAACGCGATGCCACGTGCATGACGAGAGGACAGACGGTGTCTGTTTTCTGTGCACATGGGGTTTGCTGGTGACCCCAGTGTTTGTGTGTTGGGGAAGCAGGGATCAGACAGAGAGAACTGAAAAGTGAGTGGGCAAATTTCTTTCTGGAAATAAGCTAGATCAGAAGGCCGAAGTCCTCCTACTATAAAAGGTACAAACAGGCTCAGCAGAGTCACCAAGAATCCTGAGCTCATGAGAAAGTAGGGTACCCTCTATGCCCAAAGCATAAACGTGCAGTGTCCTGTGAGCGGGGATACTGAGGCTAGGGCATCAGCAACTCCCAGGGGGGAGGGGCCTTCCACCAGAACGACGGGCAGAGACCCCCATGGAGACCGGAACTCCCAAGGCTACAACCTCAGGGAGCCAGTGTGCTGGGTAAGCCCTACCCGCCCCGCCCCCCGACTCCAGGAAGCTTGTCTGGGCTGCCTTGGCTCCACAGCGGACAGGCCCACCCTCCCTAAGAGTCGCTGCATTAATTAGACCTAAGTCACTTATGTCACAGGGAGTCACCTTATCGCCACCATCAGCACAAACGTGGCTCACAGCATGAATAAGTAAAGGCCTCTAACCGACTTTTTACAAACACAATTTCCTGTAACAAGTGTATTCTAATCCCAAGGTTACTAATAAGGGTCCTTGAAAACACGGAAGAAACCCCGTGTATTTGAGAAAGTGCTCTGCCCTTCTCCGCAAGCAGACATTCAGGGACACTCTGTATGAAGACAAGAATAAGTACAATTTTAACTCGCATCTCCCATGGGTAAGCGTCCAGGCACCATGGCTCTCTCGGCGCCCGGGACAGCCATATCTCCTTCATTCAAGGTGCTTCATTAAGAGCTACTGCCTTAGGTGGAAATCATGGCCCTGGTCGTTTTAGGATCCTTCCAGCAAGGGGGCAAACTGGCTTGGCCTCCAGACATGCTGGGATCAATGAAATAGTGGGGTAGGCGTGATGCCGTGTGATCCTGAATTAAAAATTGTGACAGATATGGGAGGACACAAAATGTTATCCCATTGTTCCACTGTTGTTTTAATTTTAATTTTCCTGATTACTAGTGAGGCCAAGTTATTAAATTAAATTAATTTAATTTTAAAAATTTTTCCAATCTGGTGGGTTGGAAAGTGGTATCTCATTGTTTTAATTTGCATTCGCATCATTACTATGATGCTGAACATTTGTCACATTTCTTTGCCATCTTTATTTTCTCTTATGGGAAATGCTTTTGCCAATTCTCCTATTGGATTTTTTTTTATTGATATGTAGGAATTCTTCAAATGCTCTGGGTATTAATCTTTTGCCCATTGTATATTTTGCATATATTTTCTACGTATTTGCTCTACCAGTTGTCACAAAGCTATACTACCCAATGCAGAAGGCTGCTGACTTAAGGGATTGATAGGAAGACCAATAAAACAAATTAGAAAGGCCGGAAACAGATCCATAGGCATCCAGAACTTAATATGTGAGAGAGAGCATCACAGATCTGTAGCGAAAGTAAAGGACCATTATTCAGTGGATGGTGCTGATTCTGGGAGAAAAAAATTAATTCCAAGTGGATTGTGTGATAGTTAAGTTTTATAGTTTCTAAAGAAAATATGAGAGAATCTCACTGAGATTTCTACGGACAGCTGGACTTCTTAAGATACAAAAAGTGGAAAGAGTAAAGGGAAATTTGTAGTATTTGATGAAATTAAACTTTTTAGACTTCCATTTCGCCCATAACCAGAGAAAGCCCCCATCCTCACAAGCACACTCAGACAGCAAATAGGAGGAGGTGGGGTGGCACTGTTGCTGATGGGAACCTCCCTGAGTAAAAACCCCCGGGGCCCTGTTCCAAGCACTAGATGAGCATTAATCCATTTCATCCTCATGGCCATGTGAGTGCAGACCATTTTAAACCGCATTATAAAACAGAAAAGGAAACTGAGGCACAGTGAGATCCGGTAACCGGCCCAAGCCCCAGTTGTGCAAGCAGCAGTGGGTGTGCCTTTCCCGCGTTCCCGTACCTGAGGGCATTCCCTGTTTCAGAGGGTAGCGTTGGGCCCCAACTTTGCCCCAAGAACCCCAGAAGCAAAGATGCTGGAGTAGCAACCAGCCCCTCCCAAGGTCACAGGGTCAGAACCTCTGCACTGACCTGGGGGCACTGATCCCAGGAGAGGAAACTCACTCCGCAAATCCATCATTAAAGAGTAAGGAGGTTTCATAACTAAATTTCCTTGCTGGCCAATCGGTGAGGTTGACTTTAAACCCATGGGACATAACACTGTTGGGTAGGTATGTGTACCATACCCACCCAGCTGTCCCTCCTGATTCTGCTCTGTCACTGAAGGTCTAGCATCATGATGCAATGTCCTGGGCTACTGGGACACTCTAGGAAGATGCCCTGAGATGCTTCAGAGGGTCCAAAGCGCTGGACCGTCAGCAGCTGCAGGTGGCACCAGGGAGGATGTGGGCCTAGAGGCAGGACCAGAGCCTCTGTTTCTCTCCCCAGGTGAGCGTCGGGCTGCTCTGCTGGTCACCCGCGCAGCTGCGGCCTTATTTCTGGACAGTGGGGCCCGGAACCTGCTTCGGGACCTGCACGAGGCCTTCCACCAGAGCCCGTCAGAGGCGCAGAAGCAGTTTGAGGCAGTGCTCTCCGCAGGGGACCGGGAGCGCGTGCGGGCCCAGGCACAGGAAGCAGCGGACACGGGCTTCGCCCACTTCCAGGAGGCCGTGAGGAGCCGCGCTGAGCTCCGCGAAAACTCGGGCCGCGAGCTGCTGGCCCCAGTGACCCGCGCACTCCGTGTCCTGCTGCGCGTTTCACCGCCCGGGGTGCGCCCGGCACTGGGCACTCGCTTGGCCGAGTGCCTGCTGCTGGCTGGGGACGCAGCGAGCGGCCGGGCGCTGTGCGAGCGCTTGCTGAGGCCTGCGCGTCCTGGGCACCGCGTGGACTACCGCGTCGGGGCCCACACCAGCGACCGCGCGCCCATTTTGGTGCTGCGCGGCTTTTGCGCGCTGCACGCCAGCGACGCAGGGCGCGCCCGGGAGGACTTCCAGGAGGTGGTGGAGCACGGGCCGCCTCACCTGGACAGCTGCGTGCGAGCTCTGTGTGGCCGGGGGCTGCTGAGGGTGCTGGAGGGTAGCGCGTTCCTGGGAGCGCTGGACTATGTCACCGCCTGCCGGCTGCAGCCCGAGGAGGCACTGCTCATCGCCAAGGCCTATGTCCCCTGGAACCAGAGGGGCCTCCTGCTGACCGTGCTGCGAGAGGAGGGCCGCAGGATGCTGCAGCGGAGGCGGGACCTGGGACTCAAGGGCGCACCGGGCTGCCGGAGTGAGGCGGTGGAGATGGACAGCCCCGAGGCGCAGGAAGGGTAAAAACTAGCCCCATGCACCCCTGGGGCCACTGCTTCATTCTGGTCTCCCGTGAGGTAGCTAGGGGTGCGTGTCTTCCTTTTTTACAGATAAGTAAACTGAGGCAGGAAACAGCTGGGATATTTCCCTGAATCATGGACAGCAGGTTTAGCACTGAAGCCTGCTTCTTAGGACTCTCAGTCACAAACAATATGATGCTTTGTGGGCCTAATTATCATAGAAAATTAAGAACTTAAAAAGGAATGAAAAAATACAACCTCCCCGTCGCCCCATAGGTAACATTCCCTTCTGGTTGTTTCTCTCTGCACATGGGAGCTAAAATGAGTGTGAGCTCTATGGGCAATGTATGGCCCACTTTTTTCACTCAGTAGATCACAAACATTTCCTTTGCCTCTGGATTCCTCCTCGGGCAGCACAATCTATAGCCTGCTTAGCGAATCTGCCATCGTTCCTTGTCCATTCCGAGAGCCTTGCCCTCTGTTAGAGCAGGAACGCCTCCACGATGTTCTGTCCTGAGTGTGGACACAGAGGTGGGGTTTCCGGGTCATGGAGCACAGGCCTCTGTTAGGTCCTTGACTTCCTGACATGTCCGTACGCCTGTCTAGCCACACGCCGAACCCTGATGTTCACTGGAATTTCTCTCGCAGCCTGATGGGTGCCCCTGTTTGGATTTGCATTTCTCTGGCTGCCAAGAGGTGACAGGAAGGTGTTTTAGCAAAGTTCAAAGCACTGAACGGGGCGGGGGGGGGGTGCGTGTTTGACGTCAGCTCCCCACCCTGCGTGCACGCGCGCGCGCGCACACACACACACACACACACTTCCTCTGCCTGCAGGTCGATTCAAATTGCTTTGATGTGCTGGTGAGGAGGATTTCGTGTGCGAGATGGGTTCCTTTCTACTTTTGCCTTCGGGAATTGTCATTCCTGGAGGCTCCAGTCCCTCTCCCAGTGGGAGCTCGTTCGCACTCCCAGCGCACCGGGAGCATCCAAGTGAGGCCAGTGTGTTCTCTAACTCCACCTACAACACACCCCTGAACCCTGCAAGGCCAACACTCTTGTCCCATTTCTACAGAAAGGGAAACCGAGGCAGGGTTGGCCACCTCCAACTGCAAAATGGTTGCCACACGGGTTGGTGGGAGGATGCGGTGGGAAGCGAGGGCCAAGGGATCAATGTCAGAGAAGGCAGCTGTGGCTTCTGGAGACGGCATGTGCGAGGGTCCTTCCAGCAGACCCCAGGGCTCTGTGGCTGGATGGGAAGGAGCTGCCCGGACCAGGTGCCTAGGGGTAGAACCTTCCTGGGCCGCTGAAAGGGGTGCAGACAGGGGCCAGGCTGGTTATCCCTCAGCTACTCTCTCCACAGGGATGCCCACGGTGTATACCAGCTGGCCATGCTCCTGATGGAACTGGACCGGGAAGATGAGGCTTCAGGCCTCCTGGCAGCTGATGCCCTGTACCGCCTGGGCCGTCTGGAGGACACCCACAAGGCCCTGCTGCTGGCCCTCTCCCGGAGGCCCCAGGCGGCCCCTGTGCTCGTGCGACTGGCCCTGCTGCAGCTGCGGAGGGGCTTCCTCTATGACGCAAACCAGGTGAGGAGACCAGGGGTCCGGGGGTGGGGGGCGGTGCAGCATGGCAGGTGATGGGCCACAGCCCTGTGGAGGGCACAGGCCTCTGGGCCCCTCACTCTGCACCCCACAGCCTGGACTTTGGAGCAGGTCAATCATGTCCCAGCCCCAGGCTCTGCCACCTCCAGCAAGGCCCCCCTCACTTCCCTGACCCTCAGTCTCTTCGTCTGTGCCCTGCCCTTGTGGGCTGTCCTGAACTAGCTGGAGCAGGTACCCCAGGCCCCAGCAGGTCTCCAGCACACAGTAATTCCTTCATATTTGCTTTCAATATGTTATGAAGGAAAAGGGCCAAAAGTCAGGTGTGGACTGAGCTCCGTCCCAAATCTCTCAGTAAACTAGGCTTGGAGGGGACCCTGCCCAGGGAGGGCGGCTGGCAAAGGGGTCCCCCGGTCCTCAGGTCCTGCTTGCCTCACCTCTCTCCAAGACCACTCTGCTCCCAGGAAAAGCAGAACTTCAACCGGATGTTAGGAGACCATCCGGTTGGAACTCGGGTCAGAAGGTTATGTTCCAGGGGAAGATGTCGGGCTTTGGGGCCTGTCGGCTTCTTCTGCTGTGCTCGGATTTGGGTTCCCGGTCTCCCTGCGCAAGGCCGCGCAGGTGGGAGAGGGGAGGATGCCCGGAACCGGCCGGTCTTTCTGCTCTGGGACCCGTGTCTTCAACGAGGGGCCAGCAGGGGCAGCATCGGGTCCTTGTGGGACCGAGCCGCTCGGAGAGCCGAGGGTGTGTGCCCCCCCCAGTCTCGCTCCACCCAGACCAGCCCCTGGTCCCAGCGCATTTGCTCCTCGCGCGGTGCCCTCGATCTCCCTATAATTTGAAAGCCCTCTTTCCCCGCGCTTCTCGTTGGATCTGCAGTGTGCAGGCAGGCGAAGCGAGATCTCCACCTCCATGCCACGGAGGAGGTCCTCCGGCTCGGGGACACTGGGATCCCCCACCCCAGGCCACCCCCAGCCCAGACGAGCTGCCCAGCTGCCCGACGCAAGCTCGTACCTCCCGCCCTCAGCCTTCCGCGGGCTCAGCGCCCGCGACGCGCAGTCCCTGTCCCAGAGCACGCCGCCCCGAGCGCCGCCCCCGAGCACCGCCCCGAGCACCGTCCCCGAGCGCCGCCCCGAGCACCGCCCATGAGCCCCGCCCCCGAGCCCCGCCCCCGGACGCCCAGCTCGTGGGCCACGCCCCGTGAGCTACTAACCCTCAAGGGGGAATGAGGGTGGGATGGTCTGGGGGTCCTGCACAGGGAGGAACCGGGTGACTGCCCTGCCCCTTGCAGCTGGTGAAGAAGGTGGTCCAGTCCGGGGACACGGCGTGCCTCCAGCCCACCTTGGACGTGTTCCGCCACGAGGACCGGCAGCTGCTGCGGGGCCACTGCCACGCTCGGGCCCTGGCCATCCTGCGGGCGAGGCCCAGTGGGGCCGAGGGCACAGCCCACACCAGGGAGGCCATCGCCTACCTCTCTCTGGCCATCTTCGCTGCAGGTAGGAGCTGCCCGCCCGCCTCCGGGGTTCCCACCCTGTGCCAGGTTCCTAGGGGCAAGAGAAGCCATGCAGGGCTCAAGCCCACTCTGGGTTCACGGGAGTGTGCCTGCGCTGGGGCCCCTCGCGGAGTACGCCTTGCCCCGAGCGAGGCCCTCGCTGTCCAGGTGAGCATGCTAAAGCGTGGGAGAGGGGCCAGACCAGCTGGGACCTGAACTGGGATCCTCCTGGCACCCTGGCCTGCCATCCCACAGCCCCTGGGCCCTGTGGGTAGGAGGGCCACACTTGACTGAGGCCTCTCCTAGCTTGGCCGCCTCCACCCAGGAGAGGCCGTGGTTCCCCTAAACCCTTTCTGGAAATAGTGGGGTGTCTCTGCATGGTGTCCCCATGTGCCCAGCAGACCCCCCCCAGCACCATCCTGGGTGACAGAGCCTCTTGGAGTTGGGCCTTCTTAGCATGGGGTCATAGGGCACCCAGCTGGAGGGAAGGGACTTTCCCAAGGACGCACCCCGATTTCCTGGGGTACGTGGAGATTCAGAGTGCGGGCTTCAGATGGAGACAGCAGGCGGACTCCTGGCTCTCCACTTACTGAGCAGCTCCTCGCTCGCCTTTCTCAAAGCGGGTGACAGAGACGCCGGCAAGGGGTGGGAGTGAGGATCCCGTGAGCTAGTTCACGGACAACGCAGGGCTCGTGCCTGGGGCGGAGCTCATGCCTGCACACATTAGTGGGGAGGCGAGCACGACCCAGAGTGTGCGCTGTCCTGTCCGTCACCGGACAGACACCGGAGGGAGCGGGGTGGCGCTGTCCTTGGGGAGGGGCCTCTGTGCCCAGCATTCAGAGGGCTCCTCCCGGCCCACCTGGAAACTTCCCACCTTCAGGTGTTCCCTGTCCAGCCCCAAGGAACCGCCCCTCCCGGCCCCTCCTCCGGCCTCACCTCAGATGTCGCTGCAGCGGCCCCTCCTCTTGGGACGCCTCTCTGACTGCCCACCAGCCTAGATGCCACCCTCACGGTTGGACTCCCTGTTTCCCATGGCCAGTGCCCCCAGGCAAACCCCAGCTGCCCCCCAAGGCTGTGTCTTGGCTTGTCTGTGAGCGCCCTGAGGTGGCCTCGATGCTGAATGAGGGCGGATGCACCGCACCCACCCAGGCCCAGCAGCGGTCACGTCCCAGTGCCACACCCCTTTCCTCCAGGGGGTCAGGCAGTGGAGTCCCTGCTCACCCGTGCCCGCTGTTACGCGCTCCTGGGCCAGAAGAAGACGGCCATGTTCGACTTCAACTCCGCGCTGCGGGCTGAGCCCAAGAACGCACGGACGCTGTGCGGCCGGGCACTTCTGCACCTGGCCCTGGGCCAGCAGAAGGTACCGGGGCCGCCCGCCCACCTGGGATGGGCAAGGGGTTAGGGGAGGGACCAGCACGGCCTCCTTCCTTCTCAGCCGAAGCACAGAGAGCAGGGCCGGGCCGTCCTGAGTGTGGCACCCGTTAAAACCCTTTCTGCTCAGACCTTCCATGGAAGAGGCCCGCTGCTTCCCGGACTCGGCCCGGACTGTGCAAACCCTGGGGGCCACTAGACGCCCCCTCCCCCCACTTAAAATAACAAGACCTCGGCTGCCTTTTGGGTGCGACACCCAGAGCTCTCTGCACGGAGCCGGTGGACTCACGCGGTCGGCTTGCAGGGACAGGGGTGGGAGGGGACCCGCGCTGTCCGGCCCCAGGCAGGTGCTTTTCACCGAGCAGGCGACCACAGCTGCCCAGCTGCACAGGGGCCCTTCTCAGCCAAGAGCAAGGGCACAGGCAAGTGGCTGAAGCTGAGTGTCTGCCCTGAGGCCCTGCGCACAGAGGTGACCTGCCTGCCCGGTTTCTTAATGACGTAAGGGCCGGAGTGCGAGGGAGTGAGGACAAGCGGTCGCGGGAGCTGCTGAGGCGGGCGGCGTCTGCGGGCGCCGGCGGCCTCGTTTGTCCCGGCCCGTCGTGGGTTCTTTCTCAGTGAGAGCCCTTGGGTGTGGCCAATGCTCCCTCCCCACAGCTCCAGCACCCTGGCCGCACACAGCTCACCAGGCTGTGCCTCCTGTCGTGGAGGGCAAGAACTGGGCCATCTGCCTCTTCTGCCGCCCACCGTGCCCTCCTCCCCCCACAGGAGGCTGTGGACGACATCCTCTCAGCTCTGAAGCTCGACCCTGGGACGGTGGTCCCTGAGGTTCGCTCTCTGAAGCCAGAGGCCCAGGCCCTCATCACCCAGGGCCTCTGGTCCCGCTGCCGGGCCCTGCTGAGCCAGCCGCTGGACACCGGGGCCACCCTCAGCGACGAGGACGCCCGGGGCCTCCTAGCTGTGGGGGAAGCGCTGATCAAAATCGAAGCTGGACGGCTGAGCGGACACATCCTGCAGGCAGACGCGCTCACTGCCATGGGTATGCCCGGCCCGGGTGTGGGGAATGTGGGTGTCTGCCCCAGCCCCTCTCACCCTTGATTCTGTCCTGTAAAATGGGAGAGACACACCCTGGATTCCGTGCCCCCTGGTGTCCTTTCCATCCCAAGTGCTGGTCCCTGTGACCTGGTCCCGGTGTGGGGCCGGGGGTGCCAGTGTTTTGAGCTTTCGTCCACCTGTGTACTTTTGCTTGCAGGGAAGACAGATAAAGGAGCAACTTGGGGGTTCATAAAAGGACCCAGACGCTTGGGGCTTCTCATAAACTCATGCATTTACTCAACAGCCGTTTACAGAAGGCCTGTGGACACCAGGCCAGGTTGTAGGTGGGCTTGTGTCAAGCCCCCATGTGCCAAAACCCTGAGAAAATCCCAGTACTAATATGAAAGGGGAGGGCTCTGGGCAGCCTGCAGTTCCCTGACCTGTCCCCATCCCCTCCAAGCCTGCGGAGCGCCCCGGGCAAGGCCTACAACTGCCCAGCGGCCGAGTACATGTTCACGCAGGTGCTCAGGGCAGCCCCTCGTGGTGACCACAGTGAGCGTGGTCGGAGTCGTGCTGCTCAACCTGGGGTCATGCAGCTTAGGGACCCCCCCATGACGGGGTCAACAGGCAAGCTGGGACTGGCGTGGTGTCACCATGTCCATCTCCCTGAACCAACAAGGAGCAGTAGAGGCTCTGGCCGGCTTCCCGGCGCGGTGGCCAGTGTCCCACCTCTCCTGCTGCCTGCCCCAGCAGCCCCCTGACTGTCCTTCCCGGATCATGGACAGGCAGCTACGAGGAAGCTGGAGACTGCCTGCAGAACGCCCCACAGCCCACCCCGGGGTCGGAGGCGGCCCGCGCCCGGCGAGGCCTGCTCTGGCTCAAGAAGGGAGACGCGGCCGCCGCCGCGCGGGACCTGCAGTGCCTGGCCGAGACGGACGCCCAGGAACTCCGCTTCCTGCTGCAGCGCCTGGAGGCCTCAGAGCGGCGGAGCCTCAGCCAGGTGTGCTCCGCGCGCCCCGCCGTGCTCAGGGCTGCTCCGCCCTCCCTGATGCCCTGGTTTCAGTTGCGGGTCAGGGGGGACAAGCCAGTCTGGCCATCATAGAGCCCAGCAACCTCTTGGCTTCTTTGCAGGAGGCATCCCACAGGTGACAGGGCCTGGGAGACAGGGCGGACCCCTCCTCAGACCTGGCTGAGCCAGCCAGGGGCACCTGCCCTTGCAGGAAGCCCACGCCCACCCCCAGGTCGGGCAGAGAGAGGCACCCACCACCCCGCAGCGAGAGCACGGCAGGAAGGCAGTGGGCTGAGGGAGGCGTCAGGCCGGGCCGCTGCATCTGGCTGGTTTTCCGTACCACTGTCTATTCAACAACAACATGCTGGCCACCTCCCACCACCCACTGGGGAGCTGCTGCCCCAGCTCTCAGGGGAGACAGGGTGAGGGTGCCCTTCTGAGTGTCCTGGTATCGAGAAGACCCTAAATCAGGGCAGTAAGGAAACGAGGGGGCACTCGAGGCAAAACCATGAGGGACAGACAGGCCAAGGTGAAGGCCTGAGGGAGGAAGAGAGTTCAGAAAGTTCAAGAAACAGGCAGAACGTCGGTGCGGCTGGTGTGGATGGAGGAGGGGGTGGGATGGGGGACAGAGGCCTCTGGGCCCCATAGGACAGACCAGGAGGAGGAGGGGAGGAGGACAGGGGGCAGGAGCTCCAGCAGGTGGGGAGGAGAGGGGATTCCCCTGAAGTGGCTGCATTTCACCAGTGTGGAGGGGCGGGAAAGGACCAGCAGGAAGAGGCGGCCACCAGCACAAACCCACCTGGCAGGGGGGCGGCTCAGAATCAAACCCCCTGTGGTGTTGGGCAGGCCCCCTACCTCCTCCCGCTAGCATGTGCCCAGGACTCTAGGGGGTTCTCTGGGGACCCCCCGCAGAACAGAAACCACACTGGTGTTCCAGCCACGGAGCTTAATAGAGCAGGTGGCTGCACAGGCCTTGGGGACAGAAAGAGCCAAGACAGCCCTGGGTAATGCAGGGGGAACGGCTGCCACCAAGGGGAATGAATGGGTCATCAGGACCTGGTGCTCAGAGGAGCAGAGCCCTGTGGAGGGGACTGGCTGGGGTCTCAGCACGGAGACTGGATGGTCTGGTTCCCAGGACCACTTCGGTAGAGTCTCTGAGCCCTTATGAGGGGGCGGGGCGGGGGTCCGAGACAGGAGGAGGGGTGCGGGGCGGGGGTCC